AAGAGGAACTACGGCCCTCATATTGAATAGGGCTTAGTAGTAGTCGAAGGAGTGTGAAGAATGTCGAATGAGATGCCGATTGTCGACTTGTTTCAAAGTCACCCAGTTGCGGAAGAGGAGACTTATAAAGAAGACGACAAGAAACAAGAACAAGCCAACGAGTGATAGTAGATGAACGAGCGTCTAGTGTCAAGCCACTTGGGCAAACAAACAATAACACAACAACAACAACAAGAAACAGCTTCAGGGGAATATCAGAGCAGCCAAAGCATTCTGTTACCAGGGAGGGCGATGGACCCTTAAAAGTACCAACACCGGGATGGCAAAAGGCTGTGTGCCTAACACAGCCATTAACGGCGATTGCCGTTCACCAGAATAGACTGAAAGTGCAAGTAAGACAACCCATTGAGCATTCACGCTCCAACCAGCCAGATGTCAATGGCTGCACAGTCGGTGTTACAACCACCAATCCAATCCAGAGGCGCCGGGTGTGCCGCTAGTGCAGGAACAGGGTGAAAGACCCTGACAGAAGCGCGAATTCATCGCCAATCAGGGGCCACGAAGGCTGGTATTTGGCTCAGCCCAAGAGATGTATCGGCCCATAAGGGGCGATGATGAAGAACCCTTTATTTTGTGGGTGAAAGAGGGGGCTATGGGGCGTTGGTGGCTGTTCGTTGCCTGGCAGTCTGACGGCATACAAGTCTCTACCTAAATCCATGGCAACAAGACATTCATCGACTTACTATTCCTGCATCCATCTGGCGACGAATGCGCCAGCAATAATCAGACATGAAAATCATGAATGAATGCGCCCAACAAGCAGTAGACAGGACTCATTCAACCAGGACGAAAAGGGTAGAAGGGAAGAAGAGAGGGGAAAAAGGCCAAGCAAGAAGGGATCGATCATGTGTCTTTGTCACTGACAGACACACTGCCCCACCTCCAAATGAGACCCTAAACGGCGCCAATGTCTCTTCTCCACGTCAAATGCCCAGCCAGGGTCCAATTTGATCCTTTCATATCACATCAGACACAGAAGAAGTTTATTCTGCACGATCCTCTCAAAGCGGCATCTCCGATCTTCAACACCTAAAGCTCGCTTGTATGCAGAGAGTGAGAGGGTTAACCCGGCGTCTCGCGCTGAAACCTGACCAGTCAGTGACCCAACAACACCTTTTCCCCTCTCACATTCATCACCCCTTTACCAACTGCCGAAATTATCCATTCGGTTCCCATTCTAATAATAATCTTACGACACTGGAAGAGCCCAGTTCACCCCAATGCGAATCAGAAAGAGAACAAACTTCAACCGATCTACAGCGTACTAGAGAGAAGTGAGGGCAGCACGCATTCCCATTCACCAGGTAACCGCCGAGGCTTCAATCCAAGAGTTCCCCGACTACAATCACCGCCACGCCACAGCAAGATAGCTGATGGAAGAAAATCAAGGAATTGACAGCCATGTAGACTCTAATCGACGTAGACCAACTAGGTGACCTAGGGAACCCCAGCGCCAGAATACCACCTTGGAATCCAACCCTTCAGAGCCTGGGCCACCGCCTCCACATTCCACTAAAATACCATGCAAGTCTGCGTTTGGGTTTGGGTTTGTGATGTGAGCATTGTGATAGAGCATGCATGCATATATGCTGTACGATCTGATTTATGCGCTCGCATAGGATTGATTGGGTCGGACTTCAGCAGGCTTGTCTCCACAGGAGGTGGTTGTGCAACCTGCTAAACGCTCGTGTACAAAGCGATGACGAGAGAATTACTACTTTACTCCTGGCGTGTCGCACAATGGCTCTGTCTGACCATCGTGTTAGGGGTCTTGGATGGTGTCGTTTACTCCTGACCCTTGTTATGGCTTGCATAGGGTGGTATTGCTTCATTTCCTTTGGGTTGAGCACTGACACAAATATTACTTGCAAGAGGGAAGGGCAATGCCATCGTCAATGGCTTAATGGCCTGATGGCTGCCTAGAGGCTATAGTTACTCGATGCTACCTGGAAGTTTTAAGAAGACTACGTTACTAGTCGGTTGCTTAAAATATTTTCATATTTGCATTTCCGTGTGCTTAAGACGCCGTAGCACTGCATACATGTCATCAAACGGAGGAAATCAAGGTAGAACAAAGAAAAGCAACAGGTCTTCGTAACACAAGGTATATCCTTTGATCAACTCCAGAAATCAAATGTCATCAAACTCGAACTTTTGGCCATGAGATATCCTCCGTCTTGCCGACCACAAGAGTAAGAAGAGAAAGAAGACCTAATTCTGTGGGAGAGAAGCCATGCAGAACACCCGCCGATGGTGGAGAACGGGGCTGGATCAACCAACCCACATTCCCGATGTAACAAACACATCACCGTCTATGCTAGAAACACAGACTCTAAATCCATGTACAAATGTTCAATATGTCCTCGGAATTGGTGGAAATCCAGGCACGCTATGTTCGCCTCAAATCAGAGATATCAGGGTATCGCGCAGTGTCAAATTGTAGTTTAGAAAGGAAGCTGGGTGTGGCGGTGGGCGTCCATCAGCTTTCGTCGGACCGCTTCTCCGCCGTTGTACCCACTAGCTTTGCGCTTGCGCGTGGGGGTGCGTTGGTCTGCATGGCGTGCATGTCTGAAGACGCTAGCAGGGCGAGAAGGCGAATTGGCCGGCATAAACTCCCGATGCTGTGGGAGACGCAACAGTGCTTGGTAGCGGTTGTGATTCCGGCGGAACGCGGTAACGATGCCACGGTCCAGGTGGTTCAGGAATCGTTCCGCACTGCTGGCCTGCTGGGAGTCGGCACCGCGATTAGGGGTCGGTGTGCCTGTGCCGAGTTGTAGGGGCCGAGCAGTCATTGGCGACATCAGCGCTTCTTCGTCGAACGCCTTATCCATCTCGTCATCAGATGACCCATCACCGAAGTCAATGAAGTCTTCGACATTCAAAGCCGATTCCGGATCATCCTCATCGTCGTCCTCGAAGGAGCTATCGATAGCAAAATCACGGGATGGATAGAACGCCTCAGGGGGGCCCATTACCTGACCACCTGGAGCAATATCATTACCGAGGGCAGTCATCATAAGATTAGCACTTGATGCAAGCATGGGGCTCAGATCTGCATGGTTGGGCGATGCGAGGGCATCCGTATCGCTTTCGTCAATAAGATGCATGGTAGTAGCCCGTGGACTGTTATGAGCAGTATTGCAGGCGCTATTCGTGGCAGATTCAAGCCAATCATGGCGAGAGGAGGCATAAGCGGGAATAATCACGAGGTGCTTGCCAGTGCAGTCGACAAGTGCAACAGGCTTATGAGGGTCGGCGACAAATGTCCCCATAATCGGTCCTCGCCGACGAGAAGTGGTTTCGCTCTTCTCATCACCTGTGGGCGCCAACGAGGCCGAAGAATCACGACGCAGGATAGATCTAGGATGCGTGATGGTGGCAGGAGGGGGAAGATCTTCATCTGTAGTCTCGCCATCATCGGCTTCAAACGTGTCAGCAAGTGGAATGTGCGGGGTTGACCAGCTTCATGCATACTTTCATAGCCGCTTGACTCCGAACCCTCGGAGATGGCATCGGATTCCACGTGATAAATGTTGGAATGCCCGTAGTCTGACTCGGCATACATCTCCTCAGACTGACGCCGGCGGCGGGATAAATTTTCATTATCATTGTCGATCATGCGACGCAACTGGGGATCGAGACTATCCTGCTGGAGGAAATCACTGGGGATCTCATCCTCGGTATGGGAGTCACTATCAGACGAGGAGTCCGAGTCTTCCTGGAAGTGCACCCGGCGCGGCACCGGGGTCTCAATAGCAGTCTCGCTAGCCATGTCGGTCTCCCCGAAGGCTTCCATGGCAGTATAAAGCTGTTCTTCATCAAAGAAGGACGCACCCGACAGGATCATATGATCGTCGAAAACATTGGGACCGGCCCAAACATCAGCGCCGGGAGCTAGGATACCGCCAACGGGGTTTTCATTTTCAGACTCCACAATCAACAACTCTTCCAGTTTCTCTACATCCTGTTCCTCATCATCTGAGCCATCGCTGATGTAGTCCACAGCGGCATAGACATCATCAGAGCTTTCGTCAGAATCATTGTTATCATCGCTACTCCGTTGACCATCGTAGCCATCATCGTCGGAGAATTTCATCTTCTTTGTCTTCTTCTGTTTCACACCCGTCTTATGGGCCCTGTCACGGCGACCATAAGACGGGGCACGAACAGCTGGCTGTTCTTCCTCGTCATCTGCATCATCATCCTCGGAGTCATTTGCATCGTCGCTGAGTTCGCCAATGGATGAGACGGATGACACACTCGATACGGAGGCCGCTCTTCGCTTCCGATCAGCGTTCAGAGAACCAAGGGAGACAGCTTTATTGGACGTTCTCGGGGAACGACCCGCGGAGTTGTGATGGGTAGCCTTTGCGACACCCTGGGGGGACCGCTTCGGAGAGTTTGTTGTTGGCGCCATTATATCGTCAACAATAGGTATTGTTATATTGCTTCCTTGGGAGAGGTCTCTCAGTTGAATTGGGACCGATAAAGGTTAAGAAGCACTTGTTGGTTCGACAAAGTTTGCTACCCGTACAACCCGCCGCAATGAATCGATTGCGTCAGCGACTTGAGAAGACAGGTTCAGGGACCGATATCGTAAGGTAGGAGTTTTTCGGAACGTTATTTCGTAATGGCGTAGAGGAAGAAAAGGATATCGTGATCGATGTTATAAACAGAGTGAGAGAGATCGGGATGAGGGGTGGTATATCGGTAGGGGTGGTGATCGGATAGAGGGGAGGGGAGGGCAAAAAAAAGGGACGATAGCAAAGACTTTTCGTAGACCGCAAAAGCACCTCACCGTCCAGAAGGGGACGTCAAAAGTGCTTCTCCTGTAAATGTACTGAGGGGCAATTCCGACGCTTGCCTGTTGTTGCGTCGAAAGAGGAACAGATAATCGTCAAGTCAATTGGAGATTACTCGGAGCTGCTGGACTGGGGAGCATGGAAAAGGCAGCCGTGCCCCCCAGCGAGGAATCTACAGCTCAGCGAAAGCCATCCTGGCACGGAACCCTTGACGATATCTGGATAGTATAGAAGGAGAAGAAGAGGGTCTTTTGAAGGTTGGATAGAAGGTGTGGTGAGAAGATTCTGCGACGAGAGTGGCAGAAGGAAGATGAGGGGTGGAATAGAGGGTAGGAAGGAGGAGGGAAAAGACAGCAGGGGAGAAGATCATCTATCCGTACGCCGTCGTACCGTGACGAGCAGGTTACAGGACGGAACGGCCTTGGATTGCCTGGGGCGGGCCAAATTTTCCAGTCAGGGTGGAGCCCGCCTCGGCCGGTCGCAGTCTGCGGGGTCATGATTGGTCAGGAACCACAAAAACAGTCACGCCCATTGGTGGGCAAGTGTTCACCGCATCTTTTTTTCTTTTTTCCTTTTTTATTCTTTTTTTGCCTGCAATCCACCCCAGCTGGTCTCTGCAGTGGAAGCCAATCATTCGCGGGGGACTTGTAACAGCCTCGAATAGAAGGCGACAATGATATGACCGGTTTAGTACCACTTAGTCACGGCCTGTCCAAAGGAGGCAATAGAAGAAGTAATTTCCGCCTGGCAGACTCTTACCTCCTTTCACTTAGTACCACTACTTTGTCACTATCCAGTATTATTTCCATTTCAAATGGTAACTATCTATAGCATACTGTCTCGGAATGGACTACGGCATGCACTCCGGCACGTCCCGGTTGTCGAACGAAGACGATCCTGAAGCACTTGGGTAGTCTTTCTTCGTTGGGTACCTGAAACTGCAGATGGCGTCGACGGGTCTTGCCATAGAAAGGGATACTATTATGGGGACGGAGACGGCAAATTAGAAAATGAACAGCGCCTTGTGGCCAGGAAGGAATCCCACTACTAAGTTTCTGCTTGCCATCTATGACTTGGCCCGCTGTTCCGCCTGCCTAGTACTAAATCACCGGACAAATCATGAACAACGCTGGCGACGGAGTCACCCGAGGATTGAAGCATCGGTGACTCACTACTCCTCCGAGTTGGAGGCATCTATTCGCCTCCAGACGAGCGTTATGTTCGGAAACTCGAGATGAATCGAACACCTACCCAGGGTTGAAACATAACCATATGGCGAACCTATGCAGCATCCCTACGTATCACCCCCTCTGTTCCACCACTAGCATACATTTTTACAGACTTGTACAGTATGTAAGTAAAGGCAATCTGTTAGATCACAGGCATGCAGGCAAGAACGCAGATCGCACCCGAGCCTCTGATAAAGAATGAGGGGCCTTCTTTTTCCGAAAGTCGTGGCATGCAAAGCGGGCCATACTGTAAGAAAGGGGAGAATAAGCAAATCTCACAAGCCAAATTCCTGCCGCTAAAGGAAGGGAGGACAACTTTCTGAACCGTGCCCTCTGCACGGTGACATCTTCTCACATCATCTTGATAATGGCCGTCACTGTGTCGACTAGATCAGCTGGTCCATGATTCATCGAATGCACTGTACTCATAGGTATGATTCATCGAGCGTGCATCTAGACGCAGGAAACACGAGTTGGCTGCCGGATGGCCTGCACTCCTCTCTCAGGAGGTCGGGAGTAAGGGAGGATGACATGGATGGACCCGGATGGCTGGCCTTGATGGGCCACCTTACCGGATGAGGTCAATCCCACCACTCGGATTGGCCAAGCCCGGCACTGGCGGCTATGCCTTACCCGATATGGACTAGTCCGCTCATGGGGAGGAAAAGGTGCTGCCTCGCTGTTTTGTTCATTCTCGGGGTCTTCCCTTGCTGCTCACAGTAGACTGCAATGGGCACGTTGATCGATTCCTTACGTTGGTGACTCTCTACCACACTAACTGGTCTGTCTTAGAGTATACATCACTAAGCATAAATGATCTCTCTAAGTCATTCCTACCGTCTATCCTGTCAAATTACTAAGCCAGCTGTCAGTCATACTTACAGTCAGTACGAAGTATAGCCGCTGAACATAACACGGTTAACTCAATTCCTCAATTTCAAGTTCTAGTCTACTTTTACAATCATCCTCAACAGGACCCTTATCTGAAGCATCAATTGTTCCCAGGAAACCGCAGACACAGAATCCTGATCCTTCAGCATGGTTATCCAGGCGCACGGATATGCGACAGAGCCTCGGTATCCGCGGCTCAGCCTAGACCTCCAGCCTTGGGCGAATGCATCAAGTTGCAGCAGACCAGATATCCACCAGAAGATCAAGGCATGATAAGTTCAATGAACAGCACAACTTAGGGGTCTCGAGCGTCAATTAGACCAACAACGCAGCGGCTAAATCTCCGAGATTGCCGTACCACCTTTACCAATTTGCAGAGATCCGCTGTTGACAGTATTCATGATGCCCATCCTGTATACATACTACCTCTTTTCACAGACACAACCCATCCAGACTGACTCCGTAGGAAGGTAATCGGGAACATATAATGGCACACGTGATGGTACTAATCGCCGAGCGGATCGACTAAAATAGATCAAAGTGGAAAGACAAAAAAAGCCACCGCATCAATAATCCCAGGAGGTCCGTGACATTTTCGGCATCATCCCGAACGGACTGGGCTGGGCACTACTACCATACTGCGTACAACTATCTACTCTGTCCAAGCACAGTAGGTAAGAAATATCGGCTAGCCGTGAATTTGGCGCTACTATTGCTGGCTCGTTTGCACTAAATATTCCTCCGTATATTCCGTATATCAAAAGTGCGGAATTCGGCTGCCTTCCAAAGAACAGATTCCCAGAAATTGCACCACATCTTCAACCGATACCCCTCCACAAAACATTCACAATTACAATGACAAAAGATCAACCCAAAAAAACACCCAGGTCCCCGAGCGCAGAGCAACCAACAATGATGATCTAGAATGAATGCAAAGCACCACACCACTTCTTCGAGACAGGTACATTAGTCTCATGTTCCATTACCTCGTTGGCTTGCGAAAGAGGGACAAGAACACTCAGGCATGAATTGTGAATGATCGATGGGTGGACTAGTAGCGATGCCTTTGGCATTCATACATGATGCATGCATGTTGTAATTGGCTCTAAACAAGCGGTAAAGGGACAGCTGGCTGCCGCCGCTGCAACTACTGGAAACTCAGCCGGTTGGATGTATCGAGAAACACCCTACTTACTACGGGGCTGGCCAGCCAGCCGGCCAGCAACTCGATTCAACTACAACTGCTAATAATAATTATTATTGTTGCTTACGGAGGTGTTTGGTACAACGAGAGCAGGTTTTTCTTTTTTTTCTGCCACATGTTGAAGTGCTGGCGGCTATTAATAATAAGTTGATTATATTGCTTTAATGTAGGTGGATGAACTGTGCAGCGGGAAATGGGCTGATAAGCAGTAAGTAGCAGCAGCAGGTGAGGGGGGAAAACCTACTGTAAGTAAAGTTTCTTTTTTTTCGTTATTACTTACTTACACATAGTAACATCATCACTCATTGCTCCATACTAGTCCAAATTTATGCGCATTGCGAACAGTGATACATAAACCCCCATTGTCCTTAACTAACTAATCAACGATCCACTACTAAGTACTAAGGGGCAAAAGAGGAGGGGGTTAGAGGGGGGGAACGTGGCCTTCCATTCCGTTCTTCCAAGATTCTAGTTGAACCCGACCTAGTCAGTTATCGTTATCAAGATGGGGGGGGAAATGGGCGATAGTGGATATTGAATGATGATGATGTTTGCAATTGCCCACTATTGTATGGTAACAGTAATACCATTGCATACAGCTAGTCCACGTCGAGCAGAATGTAAAGTGGGTCTTGATTACTCAAGAGATCGGCGCCCGTTGCAGACCCCATTGGTCAATGCGTGGCTACTTTTGGCTGTCTGATTGGCTGGGGTGGCTGCACCCCGCAGACTCGTCGATTTTCCCTCTGGCAAAGCAACAGCAAAGCTACTAGTCGTCGCCCAGCACAGCTGAGATAGTAGTGCTCAGATCATGTGCAGGGGACTTTAATATTATTGTAGGGAGATACTTGGTCGCTGGTGATTCGAGTGATTATTTCTACTCCCGGTCTGAGCTCCTGCGTGTCGCAGCATTATCCCGGAAAGGGCGGCTAGACGGCAGAACTTCCAGAAGGGGGCCCGGTTAGAAGAAAATGATGATGAAGTATCTGAGATGGATGTTGCCACCCAGTCTGCCCGCAACTTGCCCGGTCCGCTCTTCAACCATGGGTCCGCGTGATGTTTGAGATAGGCTAAGTGATGTTTTCATTCAGTTTCAGAGGACAAGTGGCCGAAAGACATGGAATTCATAACAGTAGATCATGGGATTAAAGACAACAAAAAGGTATCAAAATGACGATTAAAAGCAAAATGCGCCTCTCCAAAAGTGATAACGGTACCCTGTTCAGGTACCTGGGTAGGGTTCAATTTTCGGCCCTGCCGGTGTCGGTTTTGGGTCCGACTTAGGCCAGATTGATAGAATTGACTTGGATCGTTTTGGCCTGGTAGAAATATCGTCTTTAGGTTCATTCTCCTTGTCCTTTGCACCGTTTGTAGTCGTGGCGGCTTCTCGTGCTTGTTGCACCTCCTTTACGCCTTGGCGGATCTCCGCCGCGGAAGCTCCTCGGGGTGCCGTGGTCGTCAACGTCTCAGTATTGCGGATCTTCCCTTCAGGTGACTCGTCATTCAGTTTACCAATCTCCTCTTCTGTGACAAGACGCTCATTTTCGAGGCGAACCTCGCGGCCCCGTTTATGGCAATACCAGAGGACAAACAAAAGAACTAGTGAACATTAGTGATTCCGGATTCATCCTAGTCGTGTCAGGGCGCAACTTACTAAATAATGCCATTGACCAGAGTACATTCATACCCAACACTGCGGGGAATCTAGCCCGTAAGAATGCCATTATGGATCGTAACATCCCTACAAGCGCGGCTGGCTTCCCTACTAGTTCTTTCAGGCTGGGAACCTTAAGTCCCATCTTGTTGGCGGCGGCCGCCGCCTTGCCTACATTGTCCACATTGATACCACTTTTACTGGCCTTCTCGGTGGCAGCCGCGAGAACTTCGGGGGCGAGTGTCTCAGTCCATTTTTCAGGAAGCTTCTCGATCAGGCTCTGGAGGAACTTCGGGAGATTCGAGTAAGTGCTTTGCAGTTGCTTGTTGCCGTTCTTGAGGAGCATCTCGAGATCATGATACGCAGTCGGAACACCATTGACCAAGTCCTTGAAGATCAATGTGAATTTACGAAGGAGTTCCCGTGTTTCGTCACTTATCGAGAATACGCGGTTGTTTTCGGCCGCCAGGTTGAGGCGCTCGAGGATTTCCGTCATATCTTCTGCTTCTTGTTTCGCTTCATCGTCTTCTTTAGCTTGAGCGGGCTGTGCATCACTTGAGGCACTTGGTGCGGGAGCTGCTTCGCTCGCGCTTTCGCTACCCTAGTCATCAAACAACAGTCAGCTATTTGTGCAGATACTTTAGTGGCGGTGTCGTAGCTACCTTCTTGTCAACCGTGCTCTTCCGCCGGATCCAGCTCCAGGGCCTCTTCTTCTGTGTAGAGCTCTCAGCTTTGGAGCCTTGAGAAACACTCTGAGAGCGCTCTGTCTTCTCTCTAGTCTTCCGTTCTTCCTCCCCTAGCTCCTTTCCAAACTCCTCTGCCGGTGACACTGGTGATTGGGTAGCATCGAAAGTATCTGTGGGTACGGGAGAAACGGGCGATAGAGGGGTATCATTTTCGATGGTAGGCGATATCGGCCCTTGCTTTGCCGGATCAGAGGTAATCTCTCGTAGAAATGCTTCATCTTCGGTTGTTAAAACCGGCTCATGCGGTTGACGTTGGGACGGACGTCTCCAGTTCTTCCACTGGGTGAATTGCTGCATGGCTATCTCGCTCCACGCTTAGTCGATAATGGTATATAAAGCCTATATAACTCCTCTTATGTTTAGTGAAGGTTCGACAGGAAGTAAGCCAGCGGATAAAGGAGCCGTTCTTCACATTGCGATATGGCGGCCTGAACAAAGGATGGTGGACTTACCCCAGATATATAGCGGTTTCGAGACCCACCGGTTCCGGTGCACGATCAATATAAGTAAACTGTACACGCTGGGAGCTGTTCAACGTAGGATATTTGCTCTTTCTACAATTCATAGCCACCCTGAGCTCGAGAGTCGTTGAAATATAGCTCACCGAGCGAGTCAAGCGATGATATCACCGCACAAGACAGGTCACATGTGAAGGCACCCCGCTGGTGCCACAGTTTGCACCGCCACGATATGGCTGGATCGGGAAGAGATCGTCTGAACCGCCGATCATTGGTCGGTTCCTGTTGGTTAAGGCATCTACAATCGATCGGTTCCAATTGTCATTGTAACTCTTCCTTCAAATGTGCAGGTCTACATATATCATCATCATGATCAAGTGTGCTCATCCACACCTTTTTAATTGTTGAATTAGCTCATTGTCTATTAGCTCGTGAGAAAGTCAGAGCTATGTTGAATCCGCTGAATATATATCTAACACTCTCCGAATGACCAGCATAGCTACCACTAGGAAAGACATTAATCTAGATTTCATGGTACTGACAATTGAGGACGCAAAGCTTTACAAATCACCCTGTGTCAGTCATAGTTATGCAGTGCTCACTCTTGGAAATACCAAGCCATTATGACTCTTGAATGTCTGTCCACTCCTTCACCTTCTGAAAGTCCATCACCCTATACTCTCCTCCAAACCTGTTTTGCGTATCATCCCAATCCCGATTCACAGCTTGCTCAGGTCTCCAACGAACCGCAGCTGCAACCCTCGGGTCCATCTTGCCTTCGAGCCGGTCAGCAATAAAGCCACCGATTGAGGGAATATGGGCGAATCCGCGACCGGATGCCCCAACTGCAAGCAGTAAGGATGGATGATCAGGATGATAATCTATAAGGAAGTTTCGGTCGACCGTGTCGGCGCACCAGCATATCCGGGCGAATGAGAACGGTCTCTCCGCCAACTGGGGCATCGTAGCTCTCAAGAGACCGCGGATTCGCTCAGCCGACTCAACGGGGATCTGATGACGTGCAAAGGGAACGCTTCGCCGTTCGCCATCTGGGCCAACAATCCAGTTACAGTATCCTGGATGTTCGTCACAGATCTTGAGCTCGTGCTTTTCTTCATCTGGTTCAATGAAGAAGCCCTGATCGGCATTGAAGAGGACCGGTAGGTTGCGATATGCCTTGGCTTCCTCTGGTGACATGCGAATATGAGCCAGGGTCCAGGCAGTTGGCCGAAGTTGTTTCTTGAAATCAAGAAACTGGTCCGCATTTGCACCAGCAGCTAGAATCACCTTGGAAGCAAAGTGTTGCTTCCCATCTGCTGTTTCGGCCCCTACAATATCCCGGGTTTCAGTGTCGGACGAAAATAGTAAACGGACAACTTTTCCCTCGGGGTCGCCTCCAATGAAGGCGACTCCAAGCCTTTTGGCTTCGGTGATGGCTGATACGAGTGCATTCCGAGCATGCACCCACCCAGCGCCTGTCTTCTTCCAGTATCCTTTCCAACCTGGCAGGGGACCCGTCAAAATACCCGAGGGAAATGCCTTCCGGAAGTCCTCCGGGTCATGGAGCTCCACTACGTCGCCCCCGCGGTCGCGCCGTCCAATATGCTTGAGACCGCCCGGGGAGAAAGCTGAAGTGATGTTCCCAACATTGTGGAAATGTGGCTTGAACACCGGATCGTGCTGAAAGCCCATAGTAAGTGCGGCAAAAAAGGTCTTGTTGACGAAGTTGGGGTCGTCCTCGGCGGGAGGGTCCGCTTCGCTTCGGTTAGCTAGCTACATCCCAGGTACACGGGCATTCCACACTCACTGAAGGAGACTATCTTGTTCACGTCATTGCCCGCCGAAATGGCGGATGGCTGATGATATGCATCTAAGACAGTGACATTGGTATAACCCCGTCGGGCCAGATGAAGGGCGGTGGACGCTCCCCAAGTGCCTGCACCGATGATAAGGATGGGAGCTTGAAGCATGGGCACGTCTATCGGGGAAGCGGAGTTAATGCGAATGAGAATGGAGAGTGATGGATGCTCTGAAGAGTGATCGGCGCGCATTGTGTGGCCACGGGGGATTTCGGTTTGCTAATGCAATGATGCAGATGGGAGGGGAAGGCCAAGCTTATCAAGTTGCCATCGACGGCTAATCTCATATCGACCCTGGCCACAAGGCAATGGAAGGTCGAGGCGTAAGCAAATCACATTGGGAGTTGATAGCGACAGGGTACAATGGCGTGAGTCCAGCATGAGCGTCGCGATGTTTAGCAGCCGATTAGCGTCCGACTAAGCTCCATCCTCCAACTCTCCTGCTTCGCTTGGACCTGCCGCCCGTCTTGTCTGCCCTCTACTTTTGCCTCCACACTTTGATAATTATCCCGATAGCGATATCGCTACAAACCTGGGGTAACATTGGCTAATATCATCCGAAGCTTATCGAACCCCGGATCGTGATAGTCGCAAACCGTTGCAATGCCTCTAATGCATTCCCCTCTTCCTATAAAGGGAGAGGCAGCCGTCGGAATGAAGACCTTCCAATCCACAGAGCTTCAAGTCTTTCTCCGCCGCTGCTATAACCATGCCTATCTTCAAAGATAGGGACCTTGACGTTCCTGGCACTGAGCTGCTGATTGATATCCAACACGACCAGAACGTTCCCCATGACAGCTCCGACATCATCCTGTTGCCCCCTCCCACGGCCTGTGAGGGCGATCCTCTTAACTGGTCCGATTTCAAGAAATACTGGCACCTTCTCCTTGTCTCAGCATATGCCTGTATCTTTTCTTTTGCTGAGAACAACACCGGTGATGCTTACTCGACCATCGTGGACATGACTGGGTCCACCATGACCATCATGAACGGTGGCGGAGCACTGAACTATCTCATGCTGGGTCTGGTGAACATCTTCTGGATCCCAGCGGCTATGAAGATCGGTCGTCGCTTTTGTTTCCTCGCCACCTTACTCCTATGCATTGGCTCTTCCATCTGGATGGGTGCTTTTCATACTGCGGGTGAATGGTATGGATGCAACATCGTTAATGGTCTTGGTACATCCGCCTATGAAGCTGTCATCCAGCTCGCAGTATTCGACCTCTTCTTTGACCATCAGCGCGGTCGCATGCTGGGTTTCTACATCTTTGCCCAGCAGCTAGGCTCTATCATCGGCCTGGTCTCAGGAGGATACATTGCTGACGGACCGGGCTGGCGCTGGGCTCAGTGGGTGGTCTCCATTGGAGAAGGAATTTTGATCATCATCTTCTTCTTCACGTATGAGGAGACGTTGTTTCCCCGGTTCCTCTTCAACCCTTCGCAGAGCTTGCCTACATCCGAGGCCAAGCTAAAGAACCCTATTGATGCGACCGAAACCGCCTCTCTGGACAAGAAGGATCCCGCCACGGTCGATAATGCGAGTGTGAATGAGGGATCAGCCAGTGACACCATTCCAGCGCCGTCTGAATTCCCCAAACGGACGTTCAAAGAGAAATTGCGACTCTGGGTATATTACCCGCAGGATAAAACCACATATTGGTCTTACTTCAAGCGACCATTTTTCCTGCTGGCTTTCCCTAACATCATTATTGTACTATCCCTTGACCCAAATACAAATGCTTGCCACAGAAGCTAACATATCGTCCAGGCTGGTATCATCTTCGCCTTTGGCTGCACCTCTGGCATCGTTACCAACAAGACCATCTCCGAAATTCTCACTGGCGCGCCGTATAATTTCACTGACGGTCAGACCGGCCTTGCGTATCTATCTGCTCTGGTGGGAAGTATCATTGGCTACCTCACTAGTGTAATGGGTGATAAGATTGTCATTTACCTCGCTCGTCGCAATGACGGTGTCAAGGAGCCTGAAATGCGTCTCTGGGCTCTGACGCCTTGTTTCATCTATTCGGCAGTAGGATATGAGCTTTACGGCTGGGGAGCGCAGGAGGGTGCCCACTGGATGACAATCACGGTGGGAATTGGGGCGATGATTGCTCAGCAGGTTGCTGCAACATCAACAGTACGTTAATCGACCCTTTTACATATCAAAACTAACCATTTCTACAGGCAACTGCCTATGCTATGGAATGTTTCCCTGGAGTTGGGGGTGAGATTGTCGTGATTCTCGCGATCTGCAGCTCCATCATCAACTTCATCATCTCCGAGACTACACAACCGTTCTACGAAGCCACCGGGCCCGGCTGGCTCTTCCTCTTCTACGGAATCTGCGTGATCATCTCACTAGCAGCCGGAATGGCCGTCTACGTGTGGGGCAAGAAATGGCGGAGGAAATGTGCCCCGAAATACTACAAGTTCCTCCAGGAGCGAGGAGGAAATATCTAGCCGATACCCAGCTACAAACAACCCGAAACACAAAATAACACATCTTGCTTGCTTCTATCTATCACCAAATAAAACACACACAACTAGCTATACAGTACTACTTAGTAGTAATCCTCCTACAATCATTCTCCATCAACCCATCCCTTCCCCCTCCCCACTCCCCATCCTCTCCATCCTCTCCATCCACACCACCACTTCATCACATCGCACCCCCTTCCCAGGACAACAACAAACCACCGACTTCTTAAGCCCCCCTCAACTCCGCAATCCTCACACAAAGCTCCATCCACACCAACCGCTCCCTCATCGCAGGCGCCCACCCCGCCAGAACCATCTGTCTTGGTTGAAGCCGCACACACACACACACACACACACACCACACATGATCCCGTGCTTAATCAGACATCCTACCAAGGACGCTTAGCACAAACAGCTCCGCGAGATCATGCGTGAAGATCATCCTGTCGTATCGCACTGGTAGTGCTTCTAGATCTAGGTGGATTTGACTGCTTGTGTGGAAGTGGAGGAGACAGATGGTGATTGAGTCTATGGGGATAGGGGTGGATGTGTATGTGTATGTGTGAAGATGATCTGCGGGACTACAGTAGGAAAGAAGAGGGTGAAATAAAATAGTCAGTGAGTGGGAGAGGGAGGGAGAGGGAGGGAGAGGGAGAGGAGGTATTACTTTGTGAGAGGCCACGAGTTTACCTGTTTTGGTAATGTGGTGCAGGTCGCTTTGTGGATTGTCAGGAAGAAGGTATAAAATAAAGGTTTGGTGAGGATCGGTGGCTGTGATTATTTGGATGGTGTGTATGCAGTAGATGATGTTCTGGACAGTATCATGTTACTTGGTTGAGGGCCCATGATGGTGCCTGGCTTAGCCCCCCGGGGGTTTGTTGCATACAGATGAAATTAACCTGGCTCATTTCAGTTCCGGGGCTTGGGATTTATAGATAGTAGATTATTCTGAGTATAGTAGTGGTTATTACTTCCCTACAACTACCAGAAATCATATATTATGATTTACTGCAGTAATAGTCGAACAAGGGGGAAATATCCGAACCAGCAATTGTAGTAATATTACAGCCTATCAACGCATAATATGACCATGACATGACTGATTGGATACAGGAACTGCTGGACAAGATACATGACAAGAGAAATATAAGACTGAGAAGCCAGCACAGCATGCATGTACACAGAGAATAGTCACGCTCACGCCAGCAGCAACATAGGACAGTCTTAATGTAGTGACAGTGTAGAAATGCACAAAGTTGACGCCGATAACAATGTCACAGGTAGCACATAACAGGAGAGAAAATAAAAATTAGAAGACACGACATATGAAAGAAAGGTAAATGATAGCATAAACCGAGATAAAGCACCCCCTTCACACCTTCCTTTACATGACCAGCGCACTAATACCTCAGTTCAGAGACGTCACCAATTCTTCAGGTAGACTTTCTCTTCTTGTATGTCCGCTTCGGCTTCTCGGCCGGCTCAGGCTCAGCTTCACCCTCATCGTCAGCAACGGGGGCTTGCTTCTTCTTTGTTGCGGGTCTGCCCCTGGTGGGACGAGTAGTGGCGGGCTCCGCAGCGGCAGGAGCAGCAGCAGCTTTGCCACGTTTGCCCTTGGTGGCGGCTGGCTTCTTATTCGTTTCGACAAGAGGAGCATCAGACTCTTCATCCTCGACAGGTGCTTGCTTGGAGGCAGCACTGTTCTTACGGGGCTTCTTAGTCTTGGGCGTTTCTTTAGCTTCATCAGCGTCGGCTTCGGCTCCAGCTTTAGTACGCTTCTTGGTCTGGGGAGTAGCCTTCTTGGCCTTGGGCGTCTCTTTAGTAGCCTCTACTTCAGCGTCAGAATCGGCTTCCTTCTTAGGCTCAGCACGAGCACGCTTCTTGGTCTGGGGAGTGGCCTTCTTAGTCTTGGGCTTCTCCTTGGTGTCCTCTGCCTCAGCTTCAGAGCCGGACACCTCCTTGGGCTCAGCGCGAGCGCGCTTCTTACTCTGAGGCGTGGCCTTCTTGGGGGTGGATTCCTCCTGGGTTTCGTCCTGGGCAGGTTAGCATCGATAAAGCTGTATTCTTTGAACAGAAGGACATACATTATCCTTCTTAGTCACACGCTTCCGGAAGCCCGTCTTTCCAGGCCGATTGAGTTCGACATCCTGGAACACAAGTCAGACCTTCACAGATAAAAAAAGATTATACCAAGTGCAAAAATGATGAGATATAAGAACTGCAGTCACTGAACTTACCCCCTTCCAGTCCTCATCATCGACATGGCCCTGCTCTATCGCCCTGCGAACCTTCTCCTGCAGGTCCTCAGGGAGCTCGTCGTAGCCATCCAAGGCCGACCAGTCCCTCTCGCCCTCTTCACCAACCGTTTCGACCATATTAGCAATGATCTTGGGGGTGACGCAGCCCCTGTAAGAAGCATTAGCGAGGCGCTTCTTCCTTTCGTAGTTGGATTTACGAGACTTACCAGTGACGCCAGAAGTAGCTCTGAAAGCGTTCGGTATCAACCCACGAGCCATGGCGCAACTCACCCTTGAGGATTTTGATACCCTGGTCTTTACATTCTTTGTTTTTGCAACCAGCGCGGCCAGTTGAGGCTTGCTCTGTGTAGATGGTTAGATTTTGAGCGAGATGGGTGAACTCAGTAGAAAATGCTATTTAAAATCAAATAATATGCCTGAACCAAGCGAAATAGAAATTGTTCATGACTTGGCCGATGGTGACAGTTGGCAGTCACCGTTGGACAACAAACGCACCCCCATCCCATCCCAGTAAAGCAAGTTGACAACAAAGCCATGAGGAAAAGCAAACAATAAAGCCAAATATCAAGAGCGAGGCAGCGAGGAACTCATCTTTAATAGATGCAAGGAGAGCAGTGAACGAAAATAATAACTTACCGAGACGATAGGCACCCATATTTTAAAAGCACCACGGGGAGCAGAGAAGGCTGGTGATACTGCGTGCGGGAAAGTTAAGTTTGCGTGTTGAGAGGGAACCAAGATTTATGGGTGCGATCGCGCCCGGGGTCGAAGAGTGTATTTATAACCTAGGGATTTCACCGACGCAACGAAGAAGAGACAACACAGGAAAAGATGGAAATGAAGAGAAGGGGAAGATGGGAGATAAATGGGGATAAATAGAGAAAAGCGAGGGGAGAAAGAAGAGGGAGGGAGGACAGAGAAGAGCGCAAGAAGAGCGAAGGCCTGGCGCTGCTGCCAACGGAACACGCCAAAGACCAATGCCGCAGTGCTGCTTTTGCTTCCTCTGACTTCCTGTCTTCACTTCTGCTTATCTTCTACAGATTATTCATTGTCTGATCATTCCTCAATTTATTAGTCAATATTTATTCATGAATCTAATTTCCTATCAATCATCAAGTTTCTGTCTCTTTTGTTGGGCCGATGCCGTGACGGTCGTTTAAGCGCCTGATTTGTGGATAAATGCTAGCTATAGTTCAGTCCTACTAGCAGAGTTCCAGTCAAGGATACCGTTATACTGAACCCCAAATGCTGAGATACCTAACCTGCACTTTTGTTAATATCATCAAGTAGTGCAGATTTGTAACATAGATCCTAGATCTCAGTGATTTCAACCCAGCTACTATTCAAACGCTTTCCAACCATACACTCCCCAAAGATTCCGCAAACATGAACTAAAGCATCATAGACATGAGGGATAATAAAGACAAAGGCCTCTAATGAACCATCAACAACAGGATAGTAGCATTATGGCTGTCTGCAGCAAACTCTCCAACGTCGAGGCTATTGTTTGGCAGTCGCATCTACCTCCAAAGCCTCAAGCTCCGTGATATACTTTCGCAGCATGACCACAGCCCCCAGGCTAAGACGCGAGACAACCGCCGAGGCACTGCGCTCCCCTCCACTGCTGGTATGCCCCTCATGCTCTATCATCGCCAATGCCGTATCGATAGCGCGACGGAGCAGGAGTGGCCTGCTGCAGTCTTCTGAATTCAAGCGACTAGGCAAATAGTTCCAATCCACAATGTCCTCCATGCCACTTACTGGATGATCTAGGGCATACTTGATATATCTGCGTGTAGTCAAGAACGTCTTTTCCGTATACTTGTCTGACTCGACTCGCCTACCGCCCTCTGCAGCAAAAACTTCATACCCAGCCTCATCTGGTAATCGGTTAATCTATTATACTGGTGTTATACACATAGCCCCAAGATGTTAACTTACTGTAGAAGGGGCTTTGCACCAGGACCAATCCCATAATCGAGACCAGAATTTGTAGAACAGTGGACTTCGTGGCTGACCACATTTCCTCCTGGTTCTGAGTGGGCCATGTTCCTAGAATGCTGAGGCAGATCTTACCATCTTCGTAGAGGTTCGGATTTATCCTTCCTTGGCCGCTGATCCACGAGTGGAAGAATGCCTCAGGTGGCTTTCTAGGAAAGTCCCCTGGGAAATGGAAGTCTATCAGGATCGGCGCATATTGGTAAGGGGTCCCCTCCGGTCCAATGAACAAAACCCTGAGCAGGTCCATCCTCGACTCCCATGCTCGCACAAAGATCCCTGGAGGGAGTGATTCATCGAGTATGTCGCACTCCTTTTGGATACGCTTGATTCGTAAGGCCGAGCCCCCTGCCTCATCCTTCGAGATGAAATGATGATCGGAGGGAGGGGGGCCTTCCAATATGAGGAACCCTGGAGGTATTGTCATTTCCTCACTTTGTTCAACTACTCCATCCAAAGCATCTCTCATATCAGGGTCGGAGTCATTCTCTGTCTTCATGTCTGCATCTTCGAAATAGCCGTCATCTGCAGAACTAGAATTGACATATCGATATACAGCGCATTTGATCTCCGACATATCTTCAACATCACTACCTGAGATGGCTTCCTCCTCTTCCTCCTCGTCATTACCTGAAATCCATTCTTCTTCATCATCAAGTAGAATACCATCCTCACCATTGACATATCGGCGGAGGGCTTCTCGGAGCGTCGTCTCCGACATATCCTCATCATCATCACTCGAGAACCCTTCTTCATCATCAAACTGTAAAAGCCCCTCCTCATCACCAACCTCTGGACCTTCTTCTTTATATGCATAAGCTGAGTTCATTGACATGGTCGATAGATCACCTGGAGCTGGATCCCCAAGTGGAGTAGTGAAGCCTCCATCCATGACCATCATGATTTTTTCAAACGGAACGCGGACGTCGCGACAAGTACCAGCTAGCCGAACAGTAATCTTACCATTAACATCAATTGCAATGATCTGGCCGACGAAGTCTGCAGTGGATCTTTCACTGAGCTTACGCTGATAGTGGTGACTATGTCTCGGAGGAAGAGGAGAAGTGTCAACCGTAGTCGTGCTTTTGAACCATTCCCAATGAAACATGGCGAGACTCATATCCTTGAGATATGAGTGCATCTGCGAAAGTGACAATGACGATGTATAACTAAATGTGCAAGGGCCAGCGACGTTGTATGCACTCAGTGACCCTTCCGTCAGGACCGAGGTATGGATGGTGTCTGGGGCGAGAAGTACAATATCACCATGTGATCTTTCCAGACAAGGAAACACGTCGAGCTCATACAGAGATACTTGGCTGATTGTATCACCCAGCTCGCCCAGCTTAGAGTAGAGAGAAGCTAGGATCTGCCCGCCATGCAAGAGTATAAGATAAGGATCCTTATACCATCGGACAGTAACTATTCGCTCTCGAATGTTAACAGCTTGGACCACACCTACTGTTCTTGCTCGAATTTTTGATTCCCTGTGTCTCCTATGACTAGGCAGTTGCCGGATATATGCAGATGTGGATTCCAAGCCGGGCCAATGCATGGTCTCAATCCCATCCTTCAGGACGACGATGCTCCCGGGCCATATATTTTCATCAAGCCCGGGGTCCCAACGAAGGCATTTTATATCTTCGGTGGTGACACTCCCGTCCAACCATCTGACAGTCAGTGCTGTCTTTCTTGAGGTAATATGAAACATGTTCATGTCATAACCAAAAGTCTCTTCAGGAGGAATATGTTGGTAAGAGTATTTTTGAAAGGCGCTTTTCGGATCTCGAAAACGTATTAAATCACCGATCTGAAGCGAGGTCGCCGATTCCACTGTTCCTCCAGCCAAGAGATTCTCGAAGTCGCATAGCAAAGCATCGCGTTCCAAGACAGATGCTCGGAGAGTCTCTATTCCATTCGGGATCTCACATGTTCCGAGACCAAAAACATTCGTACAAAGCCATTCCACCTTATACTCCGTAGCTGGCGTGGACAGGACATGGCCGTGGCCAAAGGAACGGGGATCTTCCTTCGGAACTATACCTCCTTTTGTCCCGCGCATATTTTTGTATTTCGTACACACATACTGACCTGGAATCACATGATCATGCTCCATGTATCGCAAGTTAGTGTCCACAACTCTACATGGCTGGCCCTTGGGCATGCATATGAGCTCATTGTCATCGAAAGGGCAAGGGACTTCAATAGCTTTGGGATCAACAAGCGAGACAGGCACGTTGGAAACACGCAAAATAGCATCCCGGTCGACCTGCCGAATGATTCCCAATTTCTGATGGTAAATGATCAATTCATCGTTGATAAACGGCTCATGATGCATGAGCTCAGACAAAGGCACATCGTGTATTGGCAAAGGACGCGAAGAATCGGTCCCGGGTCTTCTGCGGCTGCGAGGCATGAGCCGTTCGTTGAACTCGATGGAGCCATATTCGCCCAACGACTCGTCATAGTTACGATACGCAATCGGCTCGAGTGTGCACGTAGCGGATGCACCGATGACCGTGCCACACATTGTGTCGTCCGAAATTCTCTTGACATAGCTACCGAAGTTGATGCACCGATCGAGAAGTTCGAGATCATCCTCGTGGATGAGAGAACTCCCTTGCGAAACCCATTTGAACTGAACAATGACATATCCTTTGCGTGGCTATAACAGAAGATGGGTTTAGTGGACATGATTTCTGGTTAATGGTACCCGAGGACCTACCACACCGGTCTGTAAGTACTCAGTCAGGATGTCTTGTGGCACTGATGTATATGAGACCATTAAATCATCTTCCGGTGGTCCTAACGGATACACCTTGGGCATGCCGTGTCAGTCTATTTGAGCCATTTTTATATTGAAGTTACCGGCCGTAGAAGACACGTACATCGAGATATGTCCTCTGTGCTTGTATATTAGCAAAGTAGACCCATATGCTGCAATACTATCAACGGGAGCCATACTACAACAATACCCGTTAAAGATGGATTTGATTTCAAACAGCAAACATCGTCGAGATCAAACTATTAATCATTAGTTACTCCGGGCTGATAATGAAGCCTTCGTAGCCCACTCAATGCTGACCTGGAAAGTACGTGAAGTCCCCGTGTTCGGAGCGTTGGGGACGCCACTCGTATTCATGCTGGCGAGGTAGAAGGTAGCAAGTGAGATATAATGGAGAAGTACGCAGCCCCAAGCGAGGTTTGAAGGCACATGCTCATACAAGTAAATATACGATAGATATCAACTAGAGCACGCAATACGAGCCAAAGGAAAGAAAAGAATGTCTGAGGGGAAGGTGGGAGATCCCGGAGGATGATAACAATACTGGGAAAAAGCACAGCCAGGGCCTGTCATGTGCCACAGCCTGATGCAGCGGCCGATACGATTATAAGTACTTCAACTTGATGAATTATAGATAATTCGAGAGACTAATAACCACTTGAATATGATCTTCAAGATCTCGGAGCAATATATTCTCCTTATGACCAAGATGGGCGGGCCGACAGGCTCCTCCTCACATGTCCAAGTTGTATACATCTGAGTTCCCGACTGGGAAAGTAATCGGCGTTCATGCTGATGGAACCAGCCCGCGATCCAATCCCGGCCAATCGATCGATAAGAGCAACCCCAACGGCGCGTCTCACCGCCCAGGTTTCACCCCGGCAAATGCTATTCTCAAGCTAGACTGCTACTGGCTCCTCATTCTGCACCTACTTATACAAAACTACAAACACTCTCACATCAGCCTCGTCTCTCGAACAAGTGGCCCACCAATTTCTTCTAGACAAGCGCAGCCAATTTACCCTCCCACTTCCTTAATCTACACAAACAACCGCATCCAAAATGTCCGAACCCGGCCCCGAATCAATCCCTACTAGCGCAGACCCGCGCAGCAAACGTCCCACCAAACGCCGCGCCGTGACAGCACTCGACGAACACGCCACGCAAATCGAGTCGCTTTTCCGCGACCCCACAAAAGAAATCAAGCTTCCGGACCCCTCCAAGCAACGAACCTCGACATCGCTACCGCCGCCGCCAGAGATTGTCGCCAACGTCCAGGGTTCCTCTGCTGGTGCGGGGTCGGGCGAGTTCCATGTCTACAAGGCGAGTCGGCGGAGGGAGTATGAGCGTCAGCGGCTGATGCAGAGCGAGGTCGACAAGGAGAAGGAAGATAAGGAGTGGGAGCAGAAGCGGGAGGAAGCGCGGAGGAAGGATGAAGAGAAGACGGAGAAGAATCGGAAGAAGAGGGAGAAGAGGAATGCGAAGAAGGGGAAGAAGGGTGGTAGTGGGGGTGGTGCGTCGAATGGGGGGGATAAGATGGCTGTTGACGAGACGGGGAAGAAGGTCGCGGGTGGTGCTGATGGGAATAAGAAGGACGGAACTGAGAATGGGGATGGGAATGGTCCTGAGGAGGTTGCTGAGGTGCCCGGAGTGATTATTCATGATGACTGAATGGAGAAGGGGGGTATACTATATACGGGCTACGAAGGAACCGGGGCCTACGGAAGCTGGAGATTGTACGATATGAAGATACCCATTGTAATTTTTGGTCTAGGATATTCATACAAGAAGTCCAAATGGTAATCGTGCAGCATTATGTACGCAGTTTTATTTCGGTTCGTCTTAATTGATTTAATCATCTCCACCACCGACACCGAGACCGGCACCGGCCTGCTGAGCAGACTTGCCACTGCAGATATCGTCGACACGGAGGAGCAAGCATGCGGACTAGAGAGAGAGTCAGCTTTAGTTGATATAGAGTAGGATGTACTTGTGCTTACCTCGACAGCGGTCTTGATGCTCTGAAGCTTAACCGCCTCGGGCTCCCAGACGCCATACTCCTTCATGTCCACCAAGGCACCGGAGTCACCGTCCAGACCCCATGTGGTCTGGCCCTCAACGTGCTTGGCCCTCATGCGGGTGAGGACACGGATAGGGCTGGCACCGGCGTTCTGTGCCAATGTTCTGGGAATAACCTCCATGGCATCGGCAACAGCCTTGTAGGGCCATTGCTGGACACCCTCAATGGACTTGGCCAACTGGCTCAATCTGACAGACACGGCCATTTCAATGGCACCACCACCGGGGGAAAGACGGGGGTGGAAGATGACGTTCCGGGCGACGGCCATGGCGTCCTGGAGGTTCCGCTCGATCTCGTTGATGATGTCCTTGGAGGGGCCGCGGAGAAGGATAGTGCAAGCCTTGGGGTTCTGGCACTTTCTGAGGAAGGTGAAGTACTCGTCGCCAATCTTCTCGATCTCGAAAAGTCCGCACTGAGTTCCAACGTCGGACTCCTGGAGGTCGTCGACACGGTTCACGATGGTCGCACCCGTGGCTCTGGCGATACGGTTGTTATCGGTCTTTCTCACACGGCGGAGGGCGGTGATGTTGGCCTTCACCAGGTAGTGCTGGGCAAGGTCTTGGATGTGTTAGCAAGTCGAATGCCTGCAAATAGAAGTTCAATCCATACCTGAAACACCCTTCTCCGTAATGACAACGTCAGGCTTGAGGGCGATGATAGCATCGCACATGGCCTTAACCTGCTCCTCCTCAATCTGCAGGATACGGTTCCAGTCGTCCTCCTTGGTAATCTCGATGTTCGTCTGCGATTCACCCTTCTTGTATTCCAACGGGCAGTCGAGCAGCAGAACGCGGGGGTTCTCTATCCTTCTCCGCATCTTGGGGTGGGTGATGTCCTTGTTGACCATGACACCGTCGATAACCTCACTGTCCTCAATCTGACCACCGGGAATCTTCTCAACACGAGCGTACCGCTTGATGTCGACCTCCCGCTTTCCACCACCAGCATCGAAAGACACGGTCCGGACAGCCTTCAGAGCGAGGCTGCACATGAGCTCCGACCACCGGGAAACGAACTTCGTGCCGATGGATGACTGAATGAGGGTGTACATAGCCTTATCATCATCAATATCCACGGGTATCGAAACTTCCTCCACAATGGCAAGGGCGTCGGCCAGAGCACGCTTGAAAGCCGAGATGATGACAACGGGGTGAATGTTACGTTCGAGCTGGGGGAGGGCCTGAGCGAGCATCTCACCAGCTAGTACAGGTTAGCGATCATATCTTTAGAATATCAAGTCCATCATGCGATAAGCACAAGTTCAGCCAGCACATACCCAGAATGATAACAGTCGTTGTTCCATCACCAACTTCCTCGTCCTGGGTCCGACTCAACTCGATCATGCTCTTCGCAGCGGGGTGCGACACCTCGATTTCTCTCAGGATAGCGTGTCCATCGTTCGTCAAAACAATACCGCCCATGGGGTCGAGAAGCATCTTCAGCATAGCCTTGGGTCCCAGACATGACCGAATAATATCCGCGACACTGTAATGCCAGGCCCCGTGTCAGAAGTGCCGGAAGCGGGGAAGAGTAGGAGGGGATCAATCACGTACGTCTTCGCAGCAGCGATATTAGACAGCTGGGCTTTACGACCAACCTGTCTCTCACCAGCATTGGTGTCTAAAGAACCATGTTAGCAATCAGAAGCCAAGTTCCGGGCAGTTCCCCTCGATTGGGACATACTCATCACCACCACCGGTGCTTGCATGATGGCGGTGGTTTGTTGACTTGCGTCGGAAAAGGAAGAGAGAAATTCAAACGGTCCCTAGGAAAAGATGGAGTAAACTCCGGAGCCGATCGACAAGCGGTCAAAGATAGGGGCCTTTTTGCTCGTGGAGGGAAACTGGAGTTGTTTTGTTGCCCGCCGTCCCCATCAAATTTCCAGCGCACCTTTCGAAGTGGGATTGCGGACAAGAAGAGCTCACCGCCACCATTCTGCTTTGGGTCTAGTGCTATCCTTTTCCCCCTGATCTATCTACGGAGAGCATCATCGCATGCCATGGAATCGAATAGTTCGTGCCCTTTCTTCCTTTGGGTCTTGAAGATTAATTCATATCATTCACAAAATAAAAAGCTCATCTTGCACAGATGCTTCATAACGCCCGCTATCCAGGTATACCCTATAATCCATATCGCCAAACTCCTAAGAAAACAAACCCAAACTTTTCCCCAAATGTTCAAGTGATTCAACGACACAAACCAGCGTTGAAGAACCCAGATCACTTCTTCAGGAGCTTGCTTAGCTTCTGAACACTCTTGCGTACCCGAAAACGCACATGAGCCCGCATATGCGTAATAAGAGACAAATTCCTCTTCCGAGGCTTCGAAGAGACCTTTCTGACCTCCTGCTTCTGGTCTCTGCTACCATGTGAACCAGAATCGGATAGGCGGAATCCAAACTCATTGACCCCCAGACCATGCAAACTGCATACACGTGTGCTGCCTGTCGAATAAGCGTTGAAACTATTCTCACCCGAAGTCGCATGATCAAAATGCCAGGTTCTCCGATCATAGTGCTGTCTGTTGCCAGTCCACTGTCGTGGAACCAGAGGCCAGGTAGTGTCGTCGGGTTCGCCGTCAAGCTGTACCGACTGGCGCCATTCGTGGACCTCATTCATCTCTTGTTCTGCTGAGAGTCGCGCCATCATGTTCTTGAACCAGGTTTGCGCATAGGGATTAGGGTGTACAGGTCTGGGGTCAAGCCCTGAACCCGGATCCCGGTCGTGCAGTAGTTTGCGTATTCGTTCCAGCTGTATTTGACGCATGTTGTGTTGGAGATGCAGTGGTAGTTGTGCTAGGGCGACTTCGTCAAGTTCGTAGAGTACTTCCTCTTCGTCGTCCATGGAGCGTCTGCGCTCTTGTGGTTCCCATACGTGATTGCTCGTCCAGGTGTCTGAACTGCTTCGCCAGAAATAGCTGGCATCTTGTGGACTTTGCTGCATTATGGTAGCCATAATGGGTTTGGTTGTTTGCTGACGTGGTGAGAGCTCGCACTGGGGATGGGGTTTTGGTCGGGGAAATGAGAGGCTGAGCAGTTGGTGAGATGGGGCCAAAAATATATGTACGTGATAGATGAATTCAGTGCGATAGATAGAGGCGACTGAGCTGATGAAACTTTGAGTCATTCAGCAAAATTGAGACGAATATGGCTCCTATTGACGTCAATTCAGTTTTTAGGAAGCGGATCATTCCCATGTCACCTTTACTGCTAAACGGGTCATTGCCTCCAGTAGCTTTTTAAAGAACAGCTGCAATTGGTCATCTGGTCTGGGGGGTACGATCATATTTGTTTGCCAGGACTAGTGATGGAATAAGGGAAACGCCGTATGCACCTTGAACGCGTTGTTGGTGCAGGGTCATTCACTGGCACGCTCCGTAAATAGGCCCGTGCCATCACATGGGTCAGAGCCTCTTTTTGAAGCCTTGCACTCGATAGGAGCATTGACTATTTCGGAGGGTTGATCTAGAGACTCATCACATGTACAAAAAAGACGGTGAGGGGAAGAAAGATTTGTATGGATTATAGAGTTGTGAGCGTCTATCCGGGTGCACGCACAATGATCAACATGCAGCTATCGTACAGCAATATTAAAGTAAGTATAATAAGTACCCCGAACTTTCCCAGGCGCACATGACCATTAGAATTCCCGACTTTCGCCGATGTCACAAACGTCAAATGCCCCGACCTCTGGATAGCCATACTTGGTGAGCGCCTCCTTCAATTTCTTTGGTGGCTCAAGGACATCTTCATCTGTCAAGACCCAAGTTCCCCAATGAATAGCCATGGCTCTTTTGCATTTGGTATCCCGGAAAATTTGCACTGCATCATCAGGGTCCGCATGCATAGGGCTCATGAACCATCTGGGTGAGTAGGCGCCAATCGGGATCAATCCGAGGTCAAAAGGCCCCCGGAATTGACCGATTTGTTTAAATGCGGGACATGAGGGGAGATCGTACTCCGGAGCATGATCATCGGTACCGGCAGGAAGCATTGGCACATTCCGATATCCTGTGTCACTATATGACAATCTTGGTTAGATAATTGATGGCATCTCCTCGGCAGTTGTACATACCCTGCAAACCACAGCTTCCGACCTCCAGCTTCAATGCCCCACGACGCCCACAGGGTCTTTGATCGATCAAACACACCCCGGTTGCTTGTATGCTGCGAAGGCAAGCAGCTGATGCGAGCTGTGATGTTAGACTGGTTCGAACTCTGGCCCTCCCCGGCACCGGCCTCGGTGACTGATTCATGCGAGGGTGAAAGAACAATGTCTCGCTCGTCCCACCAATCGAGCTCAGTCATTTTGTCTATCCCAATGCTGCTGAACCATGCTTTATTGCCAAGGGGTGCAAAGAAGTGACAATTGGGATGGCGTCGCGAGATTTCCATAACAGTTGGATGAGAGAGATGATCGTAATGGTTGTGGGAGATTACAACCGCATCGATGATTGGGATGTCCTCGATGCGGCATGGCATCTCAGTGAAGCGCTTTGGGCCCATGAAGGAGACCGGAGAGCAACGGTCTTCGAATACCGGGTCGAACAGAACTCGTAGGCCATTGGGAAATTCGACATAGTAGCAAGCATGGCCAAGCCATGTCGCCCGCAGACCAGATGTTTCCCGATCAGGCAGAAACTTGGGCTGCTGAACAGGCACTGTAGGAGGCGTGACGTCCGGGAACTTGATTTTCCACGTTATGATTCCCCTTCAATGCAGATGTCAGAATTGTATACTAAACATCGAGGAAAGACTTGCAACTTACCCCCACATGCGAAGAGCGTTACCAACTGTCGGAGATTGCCATGAGCTGCAGGAATATATCAGTCACAAGATACTATCATTCTTTGCGATAGGTACAAATGGCATACTCCCAGGGGTTTTGAAAGCCATTTTTGAGATGGTGAGCTTTCTCCTTAACATTCTCAGGTCCCTCAGAGGCTGGGGAGAGCACGACGGCTAGGGAGTAGAGGGCTGCCGACGTTGAAGCTGCGGAAGTAGCTTTGGTCATGTTGCGTCTCTGTGGGGATGACAATCTAGGTGCAGAAGTGCTGCCCTGTCGGAAACAAAAGACGCCTCGCAGGAATGTTCGCATTGTCTTCAAGACTCGAGGGCGGGGAAGGTTTTATACGAAGCTTGGTGGCGGCTGCCTTGACAATGAAGATAAATGGGTATTCCCGCCCGTATATCTCAAAGAATATGATAACTCAACATGCTCTAGCCCATGTCAGACTTTGATTTAATGCAGTCCCCCTTTTGGTGAATAAAAAAAGAGGAACGGCGATGACGGTGTAAAGCCCGTTATCTCCGGGGCGGAGTGATGACATCGCCGATGTACTGCCTATCTCGTATAGGTTGTGTTGTGGCCTTTCATGAAGACATCTGGGGCTTAGACTACGTAGGTCTACGGACGCCTAATGTACGATAATCCAAGGTGTGATATTATTGGACTGGGATTCGTAGACAACGCAGCCAGGGTCAGTCCTTTTAGAGGTCTTAGCACTCGAGGACTTCTCCATCTCCGATTGCCCGTGAAACCCCGGGTCGATCTCGGCCCGTCATAACTCCGACTCCCCGACAGGAACAATTGCGGACATGTGCTCAAGGAATCAGACAACTGTAGGTGGCGGTGCATGATTGTTCTTCTGTTGGCATGGACCCCAATGGACCATCAAGTACTCCAGGGCTGCCTTCGCCTGGCGATCTGATTGCGCAGCAACGGAAAGATGCCATCCAAGCAGCGGGGCAGCCTACAGGCGACGGAGGCCTTCTCTCCCAGCTAACCAACAATCCTTTCTTCACCGCAGTAAGTTCCCTCAAGCTGTTGGAGCCATGTCTGCTGCAAAACCCAATCGCTAACAGGTAGTTGTACTCATAGGGATTTGGTCTTGCCGGTCTGGGGGCCGGAGTCAGTCTAGCACAAAAAGGCTTCCGCCATGGCGCCGCTCTCCTCCGTCGGCGCATGCTTGTCGACGTCGAAATCAGCATCAAGGACGACTCCTACCCGTGGTTCCTTCACTGGATGACACTATACCAACAATCGCAGCTTAATACGGCCCGCTCCGCTGCCAGCAGGTCTGGTTTCATGGAGTCCATACTACAGAGGCTGACCCCCGGGATGCGCCACCTCTCGATTCAAACGCAGAAAGTCGAGCACAGCAATGGGGCGATACATACACATTTCGCGCTGGTACCTGGACCCGGAAGGCATGTTTTGCGCTACAAGAACGCGTTCATCTTCGTCAACCGGATGCGAGAGTCCAAGTCCCAGGACCTACACACGGGCCGGCCGTGGGAGACCATCACTCTGACTACGCTTTATTCGCATCGACATGTGTTCGAGGACCTCTTCACTGAAGCGCATGCGTATGCGGCCAAATCTCACGAAGGCAAGACATCTATCTACAATAGCTGGGGCACCGAATGGAAGCTTTTTGGACAGCCGCGCCGGAAGCGTCCGTTGGAGTCGGTGGTTCTCGACGAAGGAGTCAAGGAGCGAATTGTCGAGGATGTGCAGGACTTCGTGGGCAGTGGCAAATGGTATCACGACCGAGGTATCCCCTACCGCCGCGGTTATCTCCTCTACGGGCCCCCGGGAACGGGTAAGAGTTCGTTCATCCAAGCCTTGGCGGGCGAATTGGACTACGATATTGCCATCTTGAACCTCAGCGAACGGGGACTGACGGATGATCGGCTGAATCACCTTCTGACAATTGTTCCGAACCGAACCCTGGTTTTGCTCGAGGATGTAGATGCTGCGTTCTCGAATCGCCGGACTCAAACGGACGAGGACGGTTATCGTGGAGCCAATGTTACATTCTCGGGTCTTCTGAATGCTCTGGATGGCGTTGCAAGCGCCGAGGAACGGATTATCTTCCTCACCACCAACCACGTCGAACGACTTGACGAGGCGCTAGTCCGACCGGGTCGCGTGGACATGACGGTGCGTCTGGGCGAAGTGACTCGCTATCAAGTCGGCTGTCTCTGGGACCGGTTCTACGGAGAGCTTGACCCGAGTGGCACCAATCGACAGGTCTTCCTCGACCGGCTACAAGAATTAGGGCTGATCGAGGACGAGAACGGCGTCAAGGCCGATCGGACGAAGAGCACCAGCGCTGCTGCTTTACAGGGCTTGTTCTTGTACAACAAGGGCAACATGGAGGGAGCGATTGCTATGGCCGAGGGGCTGACATTCCGTGTTCATGATGAGGGTATGTAGTATGAGCGATTAGACTGTATGATAGACTGTGCCATGTATATTAGTTGAGTGCCGGGACATGTGAAATATGGCCAATGACATAGCATAACAATTTTTACTCAAGATGCTGTGCGATCTCAAGTGAGACAGCTACCCTGTTATCTCTATATTGTCGGAGCTGTTCCCTTTTCGGTAACCGACTATGCTTCACCGATAGGTGATGTTTCGAGTAAACAGAGAAATAGAGCCCATCACCTTTCGTCACCGTACCCCGCGACCACTAACCAGTCACAGTTACTGATTATTAGCTTCAGCGCTTCCCTACGCCGAATCATGATCGTTGGCATGGTCCGAAGCGCCGGGCTGAGTCCAGCCACATCGTGCCCGCTGTCCGATCCAGCGAGATGTCGAGGCTAAGCGCCGACCCAAGCAATCAAGTTTCTTCCACTACGGTGCATATTCTTCACGCTACTGCAGCCTCTCTTGTTCGGACCCTTGCCGCCGTCGATGTATGCTTTGACCATTATGGATAGATCGGGGCCCGTGCCTGCCAGCTGGGCTTGATGTTGGTGGGCGTCTATACAGGTGAGCTTATATATCCGCAGTATACCACCGTTGTTCAAGACTCAAACGAAGTACCCTTGACCTTTCTTTTCCTTTCTTAATTGAAGTAATAGATATTAGCTTCAAGGACGCAAGTCCCATTATCTTTACGTGACTAAGGAGCAAGTCCATCACCATGAGTCAGTTCCAACTCTTCCCATCACCGTCGGATAGCAGACGATCGAAGGAATTGCCAAGAGTACCGAAAAAGCCAGCCATAAAGACACAGACAGAGATGCGAGCCATGGAGGAGATACGTGACAAGAGTAGTCCGACAGAAGCTGTGATCTTCAAACTTATTCAGGATACCCATACTAGTATCAGACCGCCGCCAAAGGCCATGTCCAGGTCGAACCCAGTATCCATTCCAGACACAATACGAGAGCGTGAGACGTCCAAATCTCCTCTACGACATGACCGCCACAAGCGGCCGGCAGAGAGAGTTGGCTCTCCTTCACACTCGGTCAGATCTGCTTCACTCAAAAGCAGCTCACCCGCGGCAGCTCCGGTGGTGCCAATGAAATCTACATTCCCTCGATATAACTACGACATTTCGATGAACCAGCAGCACTACTATCCTGAGCCTTCCTTCAATTCTCACTGGGAACTATCCAGGTCTGAGACAGAGACACCACCTCCGGAGATAGATCGCGCCCTTGGACCCAAGACAGTTCCTGCCAGCGTGCTGAACTTTCCTGCCGGTGTGCTTGATCCAGTGGAGAGATATTCTACGCAGGAAGAGCTGCAGAGTTTATGGGACATTGCCAACGGCCAACGCCCACAAAGCCTGCCTGGGGCCTTTAATCTGTGTGTTGATCGGTATGTACATCCCCTTAATTTACTATGGCAGATCTGACCCCTACAGGATCGATGCCAATACACTTACTTTCGGAGACCCCAAATCACCGTTCTATACACTGCGAGCTACTTCAGCAAACGACATATCGATCATCCGGAAAAACCCTTCTAAGCAGGATAGCAGCGTCCCCGTAATGAACCTAAAACTCGAAGACAAATCTCGCCGCCAGCCTCCCTGCGATGGCCTGGTTTCAATCCTCTTCCCGCGCCTCGCCGCCATCCTAGCCATAGACCATGCCGCAGAGGTGGCAGAAGAGCTCCGCCTCTCACCCATAGAGGCGACCAAAGCAGAAGGAGAAGCACTCAAGCGAGTAGCGGCTCAGGAATCCTGCAGATTGCTATGGAACCAATCGAAGCGAGTGTACGAGCTTCACCACCCCGCGCTGTGCAAGCAGCAGCCTCCCGCACTGGTTGGTGCTGCTGGCATTCCTTTGTCGCCAGTACGCTCGAAATATTCAGGCGTCCTACACATTACAGTTTCCAGTCTGTCCAAGGAGGGGGACTGCAGCCAACCACCCACCATTCTGGTTACTACCCCTCTGCCAGCCAACGCCGTTGAGACGGGTGCCATGGCGGCTACGCCTCGCACATCCACGCTCCCACTGACAGATGCCGATGAGCCTTTGGCGTCGTTGGATCTGAGGACTATGACATTGTCGCTAGCTACAGGGTCGATTGTGGCGACGATACCGTCGTTGTATGCTGTTGATTGCCTCGTTTCTGCGCTACTGACTGTGGCGGTGTCCGATGAGTCTACAAGGCCTGTTATTGAGGGACTTAAGGTTTATGACCAGGGGCCCTCGACTTCCCCCTTATCAACCCCTAGAGAGGAGATGATCACTGCCCTAGCAGAGCAGGAAGACGCCAAAGAAGGTAGCCAGCTGTGGTCAAAGGTAACATCGCAGCCCAAATCTGATAGTCGAAAGTGGTACCACTTTTGGAAACAAGGACCCAAGAAGCCGAAGGCCCAAAAAGCCATTCTAGAGGAGTTCAACATGGCCAAGTACGGGGGATACCAGGAAGGCTCACGGGAGGGCGAGGAGCTTCCGCGGATTACACGGGGATGCTTGCGGGTGTTGTTCTGGGGGTTCAATGTGGTAGTGCACGGACTGACGATGGTTGTCAAGGGGATTGCTTGGATGGTGGTGAACCTGACTCGGTGTTGTGCCACTGATAGTCATATTTCGTAGGATGAGATGGATTATACACCTATGGTTTGAAGTAGATTGCATTCCTTGATGTCATGATACTCGCAGGGATTTCGTAGATGAAGTCAAGAGTCAAATTGTGATTAAGAAATCCACTACCAGCCCCCGTCAAGCGTTAGTAGAAAGTTAATTCGAACAGATGCTGATCGGGTAGAAGGGTATGGCAATGCCTGTTGGGTTTCTTGATCTCATTACAACAGGTTAGTCATATCGCTAGTACTCTCTACTATCCACACTCAATCTATAACCCCAATTCTATATTCCCAAACACTCTCCACGAATATGAAATCAAGCTAATAGATATGACTCTGGATAAAAACAACACGAACCAGCAAACACCAGTACTATTCGAAACATACCTTCTTCCCACCCGTACCGTGTCATCAAAAGTCAACATGATACATTCATACATACCCAACTCACATTCCAAACAAAACCTTCCACCACTCCATCGATCATTCGACACACAATTTTCCCCCGATATCATTGCCTCAGGACTGGAATTCAAGGGATGTTGTCGCCCTTATAACCTACCCACCTACTTAATAATCAATTCTCCGTGTCTAATAAAATGTCTTAGATATATAGAGAGAGTATGAGACACGACAACTTCACCTACTAGTATCTCAACGACCAACGACCAACTCGACACCAAGATTACTTACTGAAGAACTATTACGACTACATCAAGATGCATAAACTACTCTTCTTATCCACCCTCTCCCTTGCGGCAGCTACGTCTACTACTACTAATGGGGACTTGGGGTATTTGCAATGTGCTGTATGTATATTCCTATCACCAACCATTACCCTAACCCATCCTCCCTCTTACGTACAATAATTCTTTAAAGAAACTACTGGGACTAATGAATAAATGAATGAATTGAATGAACGATAGTCGTCCATCGCAGCAACCTACCCCCGCAGCGCAGATTGCACCTCCCCCTCAGTACTAGACTGCTTCTGTAACGCACCCTTTGATCCGTCCTCGCTGGATCGGAAGACTTTGGAGAGTTGTGCGAGTGAGGGTGTTTGTACGTCTAATTTCTCCCCCCTCCCCCGCCCCTTTATGTTCTGTGAAAAGAAAAAAATAAGCAAATAGGGAGAATAATGCTAATCAGAGATGATGATGATAGCACCATCCAACATCCCCGACTACGTATGCAGCGATACCGACGTCCCCATTGACGCACGCAAGGGAAGTAGTCCCATGATGCGGGTTGATACAACCAGCTCCAGTGCCAGTACGGATGGCAATGGCAATGGGAATGGCAACGGCAATGGTAATGGGAATGGAAATGGTACTGGAAACGGCAACAGCGGCAACATATTCACACCCAAACACACCAACTATAAAGCCTCAAAGCGCGCCTACGCACCATCCACCCCTGACCCCAACGCCGACACAACCACCACCCAGTCGACAGACGACGACACAGACTCCACCCCAGAAGACCGCATCGAAGCGACCACCAAAACCAAAACCGAAACCAAGACCTCAGAAGCGCGCATCGAAGCACCAGCGACCATAACCGACCATCACGGGGTGCACATGACAGACGCCACGAACCCAAACGTAGTATACAAAATGTACACGGAGACAGTGACGGACTGTGCGTGTGAGCATGCAACCGCCACTGGCGATGTTGCGCATGCCTCGGAGTTGAGAATGGAGAGTGGAACTGCCGCTACCGCTACTGCTACTGCTGCTGCTGCTACCGGCACGTCAGCAAGGCTGTTTGGAACGCAGGCGGCGGAGACATCAGGGGCGGTGGTGTCGTCGTCATCGGTGGTGATGTCGATGCCTAGTGGGGTGGATGCGAGTCGGGTTGATGGGGTGAATAATGTGAATAATGGGACTGGGGCGTTGTTTGAGGGCGGTGCGAGTAGGGTAGGAGAAGTTGGGGGTTTGTTGATGGGGGTTGCGGTGGGGGTTGTGGGGGTGGGTTTGGTTCTTTGATCTGTCTATTTCATGAAAACGAACTTGTTGGGGGAGTAAAGATGGGAAAGGGGAGGTGGATTATGTTATGAGTATGAGTATGATATGTGTAGTATGATTGAGTATAGTTTTAGTATAGTCTCTCTCTCTCTCTTTATATCTGAATTGAAGTTTGATATTGTCAAGAACACGAAATCCTCACTACCAATCTATCACGCATGAATCGCCTGCTGCACCTTCGGATACAACTGCACCAAGCGATAATACATCTCGGAATGGTCATGTACCAGGACCTGCGGATCCCACGCCATAGCAGCAAAGATCGTTTCAATGCCACTACTCACCGGCGTCATGAAGATCTGACAGATCTGCAATCCAATGACAAACGCAAACGCCATAATGACCGCCGTGAAGTCCCCTCCCTGGTTATACCCGGGGTTCGTGAACTGGAGGTACAGATATGCCAGTAGCGCACACACGTACGACACGAACACCGACCCCATCGTTATCACCGGCCCCACCAGACAATCATTGACCAGTGCATCCACGCCACGGTCCTTCATCATCTTCCACGTATCCTTAGCAGAGGGGATATATGCTTTCCCGTACAGGGCGATATGGCAGAAAGCGTAGCGGTTAAAGAACGTAACGAGCCAATCGAGCAAGGAGATGAAACAACCTAGGACCCAGAACCCAATGCTGCCGATAATACTGCCCTGGGCGGCTTCCTGCTGCTGGGCGATGGAGCACGCCTGCCGGAGCATTTGGATAACGGCGAGGATGAGCGAGCCGAAACTGATGCTGCCGAAGGAGTAGGTGGTGGCGCGCCGGAAGGCGCCGCGCGTTGCACCGTGCGGCATGCCCTGGGGTGAGTTGGCGAAAAAGTACCAGGAGCCGTAAACGCCTGCGATGGTGGTGTGCACGGTGTTCTTAAGCCATTCGCTGAACCAGTACATAGCGAAGGTGACGTAGACGACTAGACCAATGACGCGGGCGGTGCTGCAGCCGCCGGAGCCGTTGGGGCAGGCCGGGTTGACGCCGGTGCTATCGGGCTCGTAGGCGACGTAGATGGAGACGAGCGTAACGGAGAACCAGGCGGCGAAGGCGACGGCCACGAGGCCGCCAATGGTGCTCACCAGGAACATGTGGCCGTATTGGCGGGAGACATCTATGGAGACCTCCATCATGTAGGCTGTGAAGGGGATTCGAGGGATCCAGCTAATGAAGCAGACAATAGCGAAGACGCCGAAGATGAGGAAGACGATACCGCCACCGTATTGCCCGCGGACGATGTAGTAGATGCCAGTCGCGAGGGCAAAGACGATGTTTAGGATGCCGGTGACCCAGATGAAGAGCTTGGAGAAGTACCGCGCACCGAGAAAGTAGGCATACGAGAAGGCGAGGGCCACGCAGAGGACGAAGATGAAGAGCACGAGGGTGTTGGTGTTGAGGGAGAAGTCGTTAGTTGCATCGTAGATGCCGCCGCCACTGAAGCCTTTGTATTTCGCATAGCGATGGATGGTCACGCCGGACACGGCCACGTAGCCGAGGAACACGGCGATGAACTGCCAGCAATTTAGTGGTGAAGCTTTATAGAGATTGAGGAGTATCCTACTAGAAGTCCCGCCCAGATGTCATTGTATTTGGGCCGCTCGACTTGGAAAGCTTCGTCAAACCCATATACGGCTTGGTTGTAGGTTGGTGGAGGTCCCTGAGGGGGTCCCTGAGGAGGTTTCGGTTCAGGTCCTCGATAATCGCCGCCATTGTGTTGGTTGGGTGCTGGCTGGGGAGCTTGGTTATAGTTGTAGTAGGCATATTGTTGTTGTTGCTGCTGCTGCGGTGGCTGAGGCTGAGGCTGATCGCCAAAGCTCTGGTTAGCATTGTAATAGCTGGATGCCTGGCCACTCATGATTGTTGCGTGCTGTAGATGCAGAAAAGGAGAGATTCGGAGGTGAAAAACACCTCATTATCTGGAGAGAAAGTCAACGTCACAATCCGGGCAGGAGAGGGTTGCACTGCAGCTCGAGCGCGTCATCGAGGCGGGATCGACCGGCCGCTGTGTTGGCTCCCCACGGATCCTCAAACTTAATTCCTCTCCCTGAAGTCACCTCAAATGAATGTAAATAATGAAACATTAAAAAATGGAAAATATGTGAATCAATGCCACTCATATATTTAAGCTAATATGCAGTATGTACATGTAACATCGTCAGGCATGTCGTCAGTCCATCCGGCCTGTGCCCTGAAACCCGCGAGTCTATTAAGATTAGAAGGTCGCAGAGTACAAATAAATAGTCCGGACCAGGTAAACGGTGGACTGACCGGTTCAAATACAATAAAGCTGCTTGGGGGTATCAATAAAAGCCAACCATCACTCCTCAGCTCCTACCGAAATGCATGGTTTCGCATGTGTCGCCACGAATCCCCGATCTTGCGCTCGATGCCTGGGATAGGTGTTCGCGATCGTCCTGGCCACTCGTCTGTCGCTGCCTGGATCTGCCCTTTGTTCCACGCCCGCGACCGCCGCATGTTCTCGTGTCGAACTGCTGCCCGTCGCGCGGCGCGCAGCTCGTCGATGCGGCCTTGTCCAACCCGATGTCGTCGCACGAAACAGTCGTCCATCAGAGTATTGGCGTCCAGCAGCTTCTTCGGCACTGTCTGCACCACCTGGAATACCTCCATTGGATCCGATACTGCCATGATCTCTCGCTCGCACGACTTGAAGATGGCCAGTGACACGCGGAAAAACGTCTTGGACCCTTCGTAGAAGAACACATCCCACACCCGCAGTGTGGTCTCCAGGGGCAACGTCCCGATGAACACCGACATCAGCCAGTTCGTCAGCCCGAGCGTTATGTCCGGCAGACGCGACGTCACCGTCAGCGCGGGCGCCCGCGAGCCGCCACCGAGCCCGCCAGCGATTTTGTTGTACACATGTGGTGACGTCTCCTTGAGCAGCACCATGAGAATCCACAGGTCGATGTTAGCGCCCTCCAAGCTGATCTCGTGCGTGCTTGGGAGATACACCGAGCTGATAATGTGCAGCATCCAAAACGCCTTCTCTTCCGGCATGAACAGCAGCAGCAACCCCGTGATGAAGTTTAGCGACTGCGTATATCCGATCTGGGGGTTGTGCACGGCGAATGCATACAGCACGCGCCGGAGCGACTGGATCATCTCTGTCTCAACCGTCACGGACTCGTGTTTCGGGTTGCTGCTTCCAGCGCCAGCGCTGGAGCCTCCGTACTGTTCGACCGATTCAGGTTTGAAGTGGATGTTATCCGGGAACGTCCGATGTAAGTCGCGTTCAATGTGTTCCTTGTCGTCGTTGCTTGGGGAATCCATGGCCTGCCGGACAAGCTGGTCGTAGAGCCCGGGATTCCGGTTCAGATGCTCATACCCGCCAGCGTAGAAGAACCAGGCGGCTCCTCGATACTCCGATGGAATTCCCTTGCGCACAAACTTTTTGACTTTGTTTGATTTTGGCGGGAAGGAGATCGGATCTGTGATCGGCAGCCGATGTTGGCGGAGCAGTTCTACCCACTTGATTCGCTGGGTCGCGGCAAAGTCGGAGTATGAGCTGTTCCAAGCCTCCCACTGGGCAAGCGTCACATGATGGGTAGCCTTTCGGAACCCGTAGCGATCGCGCGAGTCCGTTCCCAACAGGAGGGGCGGAGGCACCACTCCGGGCAGCACGACCTTTCTTTCTTGACGCTCGACCCCGGGAGATTTTAATGGTGTCTCAACGGGTGGCTCTTCATGTGGGACTTCCTCCCCCTCATGGCGATCGCTTAGCGGCCCCCGTACAGGGGCACTCAGCTCAGGGAGCGGTGGTACAGGCGGAAGATCCTCAGTAGGATCCAGATCGGGCGAATGCTCATCGGAAGTGTGACCATCATCGAGCGTATATTCCGTGGGCGGACACGGGCTCCACGGTCTTACTTTCTCGTCGTCATATATATCTGGCGTTCCAGGTTCCTCCGTCACATCACTGAAACCGTCGAGGTACATGGAAATGGCATCTTCCACACTCATGCCCCCATCTTTTTCATAAGGTCCATCGGGCGTGTCAGGAGACAGGTCGGTAATCGAACTACTCTTGGTGAGAACACTACTGCGCTCAGTTCCGCTGGCTTGCTCGATGCTGGATCGCGATGTCATGGCGGAGTTGACACTCGATCGCAGTGCATCATCTCCATGTGCGTCTGCGTAGCTCCCCGGAGGCGCGACGCGCGGCAAAGCCAATCCATACGCATCATCTGGGTACCGTTCTCGTGACCGAGGGGGCCGTTGGCGTCGATTGTGCAATTTGGAGGTAGACATGGAGATGCGCAATCCTGGTGCGCCTGGCGGAAGCTTCCGGGGCGGTGGGCGATCGAATTCAGTCTCTCTGGAAGGATATCCCGGACGATGACCTGGTGATACCGGGAATGTTGGCGTACGGAGGGCGGGCTTGCGGGGGACGAAATAGTCATCATCTCTGGGTTGAGGCGAAGGGGAGCGCCATGATGGATCGGCAGCAGCCACCTGTGCAGGGTGCAGTCGCGGGGAAGGCACGGGGGGGCGCTGAGAGGGAGGAGGGCGAACGCCGTCGGCGGTCGAGGGGCGTGGAAAGGGAGGATTAAGTCTCAACGGATCTAGGCGGGGAGGGTTCGGGATCCTGCGTCGGCTGGGGATATCATGCGCGCCTGCAAGGGGCGGATATCGAATGTCTCCATTTCCTGTGACCATGGCCACGAGATGATAGATCCCAGTTCCCGCTGGACATTGGTCGGTGAGTGTAGAATGGAAAGACGCAGTCGAGGACTGGTTTCAGGGGCGGGCGGGCGGGCGATAGTTGATAAGGATGGGTGAAGAGGCAAAGGGAGGCGAGTTGAAGAGGAGGAAAAAGCAACGAGAATAGAGTCAGCGCGTAGAGAAAGACTGCAGGGGCAGTGGTGAACGAGTGAAGAGACCGGTCAAGCGGTCGAGCTGCCCCGTCAGGCGCGAAGTGAAACGAGCGGATGGAAAAGAAAAGTGCA